AAAAAAAAATATGGAGGAGAACAGGAAAATTAGAAAACAGACTCTGGTTTTCAGACGCTGCGGCGGACGATTCTGCGCAAAGGAACGGAATTGATGTCCCCGAATTACTCGATCTGAAGCAATGACAAGGCAGCGCCTCTGGAATCGGGTTTATTGTCTTGTCTTTGACACGTGCCAGAAGAAATTAAATACACAGTGAGACAGCGCTGCTGCTGGGAAAGCAGCCCTGCAGCTCAGCACTGCAGCCCTTCCCTCATATTGCTTGTTCTCTTCCTCATCCATCCTTAAAACAGCAACAAAATTAAAATCTGGATAACATTCCCATATTCTTATTGCTCATTTAATTCTGAGCTGTTCCAATGAGTCTCATTGTGGTTTTTCTAAAAATGTTCTTCATGGAGTGTTCTTATCAGAGAGATACATCATCACCAGACTCATCGTTTTCAGACTCATCATCTCCAGGTTCATCGTCCTCAGACTCATCATCTCCGGGCTCTGGGTCCAAAATCACTGCCACCTCTGAAAACTTGACTCCTTTCAGTTCTTTCTCAGGGGCAGGCAGTGTGGGCTCAGGTGTTAAGGAGAGAGCTGGCTTCTGGTTTGTGTCTGTTGGAAAGGAGTCCTGCAAAAAGGCATAGCGCAGGTGAGGCAGAGAGCTACAGATGGCTGAGTGTGCAGCAATGATAAACGGTGGAAATTGTAAAATTGTGAGCCCTTTACTGTTCACATTCCATAAAGACAGAACAGAGTCATCACTTCTGGATTAAAGTGGTGTTCCTTCTTCTAGGCACAGACAAACAGCCCTCCTCCTCCTAAGATTTTTAATAGAATCACAAAATGGTTTGGGGTGGAAGGGACCTTAAGAGATTGTCCAGCCCAACCCCCTGCCGTGGGCAGGGATGCCTTGCACTAGAGTAGGTCACTCCAAGCCCTGTCCTTGGACACTCCCAGGGATTACTTCACAATATATTTTTTGTTTTAGTTCTATTGGATTATTTTTTTTTATAATTCCTTCAGTTACTTGGTGAATAACAATAAAATACCTTTCACTCCATGCTTTGCAATCATAAATCTCATTACCTGTTCTGTTGTGAATCTCGCTGTGGGCTGGACCTCCATATTTCTGCTTTCAGCAGCTTTTTCAGGTGCTCCATTTTCCTCACTTTCACCCTTGTAATCCAGCAGCACTGTCTCCAGGTAATTGTCTTTTTCAGGGCCCTGAATTTCATCTTTTTCAGCATCATCTCCTCTGGTGCCTTCCAGGTTGTCAAATGACATCACCTCAGTTCTCCTAAGAGAGGTCAGAGAATTCATAGCACAGACAAAAATCTCAGCCTCTACAACCAAGAGCAGCATCTCAAAATTACACTGATCTCAAAATTAGTGGGATTGTACCCAGGGGAATAAAGTAGCTTCCTGTATCCTGAAAGGTCTTTTTTGCATTAGGATTAACAATTTGCTAGAGTAAGTAGGAATTTGTCTTTGATACAAGATTAAAAGGTATTAACTTCCTTCAAGTGTAGAGATTTTTAATTTGTCATTTTAAGGGTCCTTAAAAATGGACCTACAGCCTAGTGGGAGATCCAAGGAAAATCCTATGGTACCAAAATAAACTAGAACCACGGTTTTTATGTGCAGTATTTTATAAATTTGTGATTGCAGCAGTCTACTTACCAATTATTCATGTGTTCTGGTTTCTCTAAGCTTTTCAGGCTTCCATTTTTGTCATCTGCCCACGGGTTATCAATGCCCTCCATGACATCAACTTTCTTAACCAAATCCTGTTTCCCATACTTTCTGAAAATAATACATTAATTTATTAAAATAATAATAATAATAAAAAATTCTTCTTGAAGATTGGCTTTACAGTTGTTTTAGAAACAGAAGATGAGTTACTTGTGTTATAAATTGAATACATAACATTCATTTTCAGTGCTGTTCTGGGGATTAGTTTGGAGTATTTCCTATTTTCCCATAATGGTAGCGGGGTAAATGGTTTGCTTCCCTTCTGGAAATTGTTTTCGTCTCCCATGTGGCCCTGCTGCCACTGAAGTTAAGCAGCAAAACCTCCCTTGATTTCATCATTTATGGGGTTGGAAAAGACCAATGCGCCCCCCTTCCCAGTGAAAATTTCTGCTGCCCACATTTCTCTAGTTCAGAACTATTTGTTTCTGCTTTTGCTGTGTGACAAACACAAGAAGAAACAACCAAGAAGAAACAACTTCCAGTTGTGTGTGGTGCATCCAACATCACAAATCTCGGGCAGCGCTCTCCGCAAAAGCCGCTAGTTTATCAGACAAACACCTTTCGTTAAACCCATCAGCAGTGGAGGTGGATGGCAGTGAAGGCAAACCGTGGTACCTTTTCCTTTTGAGGTCCAGCAGGACGTAGGCCAGGAAGGCGATGAAGGTGGCGGCCAGCAGCACGCCCAGCACGATGGCGGCCGTGCGCTCCGGGGCTGCCGCGGCCGCCGGGGCCTCGGGCACGGCCGCGCTGACGGGGGCTGAGAACACCTGCTGCAGCCCCAGCTCAATGGCAGCCCTCTGCTCCCTCAGCTTCCTGGGGACACAGGAAAGTGGCCATGGGTTTGAAAATACATTGGTTTGAAAATGCAGAATATCCCTCCCTGCTCTGCCAGGGCCTTCCCGAGCATTCGGGCTTTCGCATCTCCCCTTCAGGAGAAGCTCCCAGCCCTGGGGCTTGTGGCCTGAAATGCTGCAGAGCTTGGACACCTGAACTAGGATCCACATCCCTGACAGGTTACCAAAGAAATGTAAAATACACCTGAAGTGTGGGGCTTTAATCTACAGTCTGCCACTCTGATATATATATAGTCTATATATGTATAGTCTATAAATATAGTCTGTATATACGGTGTGTGTATGTGTATATATATACACACACCTGATATATATATATATCAGATGTGTATATATATAGCAGGTGTACATATATATATATATATATATATATATAAATATATATCAGGTCAAATATATATTTTAATTAAACTATTATTCAATTATTTTAAACTATTAAATTATATTTTAATGATATTCTTTCTCCGTCAGCTTTTTTTCTTCTTCAATTTTCTCTCACTTTTAAATCTAATTTGCACAATGAAACAGCCTTACTCATGTTTTTGGCTAGCTCTGGAAATTAGATTTCAGTAAATAGTGAATCAGCTTTCTGAATTCTAAAATGTCCTGTCTGCACGAGCTCTGGCCCCCACAGGTCGGAGTGTGCCACACAGACCTTTTCACATCTTCTGCAGGTACTTCCTGGCGGGCCTCATCAAAAGCAATGATGTCTACGTGGGTTTCATCAGTGCTGCTCCTTGAATTTCTGTCAGACTCCTTGGGATAGATATTAAGCACGAATACATTCCATCCAAGTTTCTCTTCCAGGACCCTGACATCATATGAAGAAAATATTTTTAATTAACTGGGCAATGACAGATTCTTTTACTCTGGAAATTAAATGAAGTATTATTTAGTACAACATTTGGCAGATATTAATTGATACTAATAAGAGGACCTTGGCAGGTATTTTGATCAAAGCATGTAAAAATGCAGGATTATCATCAGCCAAGGAATTAAGCTATTTGTCCAAAATTGTTGAGTGAGTGAGTGGCAGAGGAAAAAAATATCTATAGATTACTATAAACAGTAAAGGTGGGGAGGAGGGAAATTCAGTCTCATAATCCCCATTGTTTTCTCCTCTTTTTCCAGAGATTTCGTGCTGGATGGGACCAGTGGCCCAGTTAATCCATCATTCTGGCAGCAGTCAGCACCAGCTGCTTCCAAGAAAGTTTTCCATTTCATTTTTACCAGCAAGAACTGGTCCATAATAACACCAACATCACAAACTCATTTTTCCCACCTTCAGAGTGATTTCCCTTCATAAGCACAGGACTCAACCTTTCCAATGTAAATACATGTTTATGTGTAGCCAAACAAAAGATCTTCCATCTTTGTTAACATGCCCAAAAGGCCAATTGTGGTTTTAATTTAATGGTGGGTTTGGTTTGTGCTGTCTGCCCCATGTCTCCACATTTTTTTCCTGCAATCCATGAAAACCTTTATCCTAGGCTGTTAAAAATGACACAAACCTCGATGTGGGAAGAGACCACATGAAACTGTCTAGTCCAGTGACCTCTTTGAGATGCGTCAGCTTCAGCCTAAAAACTTACAAGGCAAAAATTGGTGGATTCCTGTGAATTCACTCAAATTATTCTGAGCTCTATCAGATTGAAGGCCTGGCTTTTCATGAGCACTGGCTGCAGGCTATCAGACCCCTATCCCAAACTCTGAATTTATCATTAGATATTATACCAGAGTAAGCTTCACAGTTTCAAAATTACCTTTGTACTTCAACACTCTTTCTTTCCACAGCACTGATCTTCTGATTTAGCACCAGCATCACAACGTTGCTGCTGGAACTGGAATCAACAGTTACCTAATAAAGAATCACAGATAAAATTTTCTAAAGCATTTGTACCTCTCATAGATTGATCAAAAAAAAACCCACAAAGAGCCCCAAAGTAATTTTCCTCCCAAAGTCAGGTTTTGTGCCAACATATTTTTATATGTCAATGAAAATGGCAACCTCTTAATTCCTGTATGTAAATATTCATGTATCTGACAGCCCTATTGACAGAGTTAAGTAATTTTGTAGTTTTGCCATTACCAAAATTGGCCCTTCTTGTTTACAGTTTGGACATGGAAGTAAATCAGGATTATACACAAAAATCTTCCTTACATTGACTGTTGTCTGGGCTGTGAGGCTTCTTGTGCCTTGGTCTGCAGCTTGGACTTGCAGATAAAACGTTCCAGCTTTTCCTGCTACAGAAACTGTGAAAATCTGCCCTGAGTTTTCATTGATGTCGAATTCGTTGGTTTGACCTCCCACTAAGCTGTACTGCAGACGTCCATTGTCTCCTGAGTCTGGATCTGCAGCCTGGGTTTAAAAAAGATGATTTGAGACACTCAGCCTGTGCCTTTTGGGCTGCACCTTGTTCTTCAAGCAGTGAACTCAGCTCTCAGGAGCAGCTTGAAGGCTCCTCTAACACAGTGGGAGAAACCCAGCTCTGTGCCAGGGCCTGTCCTTGTGGGGAGCACAGGAATACTGTACCTGGACTGTGGTGACAGGGTATTTGTAGGGCACAGAGCTGGGGATGCGGGCGCGGTAGGAGGGGCTGGGGAAGGCGGGCGGCTCGTTCACGTCCTGCACGGAGATGGTCAGCATGGCCGCGTTGGCAGCAAACAGCCCTGGGGAAACACCAGTGAGAGCCTGCACCTCCTCAGGTCACATCCAACCTTACAAAGACAACCACAGCTCCTGGGTGCATTGCAAACACAAAACGTGCGTCCACTGCTGCCCTGGAATGTCATTTAAAGCAAGAGGTTACCTGAACGCTGCGCTTCTGCAGCAGAGGAGACTCTTGGGTTTGCTTGAATTAAAACCACATACTGAGAAACTTCCTCATAGTCCAAATTAACTGCTGTTCTCAGCTTACCACTTTCAGGATCCAGTCTGAAGTGACCTGAAAGGACAAGCACACACTTCTGCTGCGACAGCTGCCCTTGGGATGTGTCCATGGCTGCTCTGAACAATGTGGAATTC